AGTTTGTACAGTATAAAAACCATTACGCCTATGGAGAGTCCCCACAAGGATAGCTGACCAGACGTGTGTGTGCGTGAGAGCGTGCGTGCGTGCGATCAAACAGCTGACACATTAAATAGTACTCCATTTTTGGTCATACAGATAAGAGTAAGACAATCCGCAAAGTGTTAAAAAAAATTTATAATAATAAAAAAACGAACACTAGCTTCTCTATTCTTATTCTATTCTATCTATTTCTTTTCTTTTTATTTATTATGTAATTAACAAAAGCAAAAAAGGCCTCTAACACTAGCATGCTCTATTCTTTTTCTATTCTATCGGACTCTCCACAGGATCTGGAGGGAAAGATCATCGTTGATGAGCTCAAACAGGAAGTCATCACCACTAACAGCAAGGCTGAGCCGCCCCAGTGCACATCTCTGGCCTGGTCTGCTGATGGACAGGTGAGAGCTTCCTGCGGGCCACAGTCTCCCGTGTGTGTGTGTGTGTGTGTGTGTGTGTGTGTGTGTGTGCGTGTGTGTGTGTGTGTGTATACGCGTTTTTGTGACAAATGAGGACATAAATGTGTATAATGACAAAGGTATGACAGGTATTACAAGGAGAAGGTGACTTTTCAGGACATTACCCCATGTCCCCACTTTTCAAAACGCTTATAAATCACACAGAATGGAGTGTATTGAAAATCTGAAATAGCACAAAGTCTCCTGTGAGGGGTAGGTTTAGGGGTAGGGTTGGTGTAGGGCAATAGAATATACGGTCTGTACAGTATAAAAACCATTACGCCTATGGGATGTCCCCACTTTTCACAAATGTGAGTGTGTGTGTGTGTGTGTGAGATGAGCTTATTCTGCAGATAATCAGCATCAGTTTGGATGCTGGATCTCTGGGTGATCGGTGGCATTGTGTGCTTTGTATAATCTTAAATATAAACCAATTGGACAAACAAAAAGAGTTGTATTAATTACACTCTATTTCTTTTTCTCAGACTCTCTTTGCTGGATACACGGACAACCTGATCAGAGTTTGGCAGGTGACCATCGGAACCCGATAAAGATGTACATTTCCAGGAAGAGTGTGTGTGTGTGTGTGAGATGAGCTTATTCTGCAGATAATCAGCATCAGTTTGGATGCTGGATCTCTGGGTGATCGGTGGCATTGTGTGCTTTGTATAATCTTAAATATAAACCAATTGGACAAACAAAAAGAGTTGTATTAATTACACTCTATTTCTTTTTCTCAGACTCTCTTTGCTGGATACACGGACAACCTGATCAGAGTTTGGCAGGTGACCATCGGAACCCGATAAAGATGTACATTTCCAGGAACGGAATGCAAAATATGGAAAATTGAATAAAAAAAAATGATACCAATTTTGTCCTTAGTTTTTTTTTCTCTTGTGTTGATGCCAATTTGTACTAAATCAGTTCACCATACGATTATTCTTTATCTAATAAAAATCTATCATATGTTAATTTACATGTTATATTACTCATGATCTACTTGATGTATTATATACAGTATATGAGGTTTTGTGTCAGTTAGGTAGAAAGAAACAGCTGGATTCTGTGAATCCTGTAGCAATTATTTATCAGTTTATGTGTGAATGAGCAAAGCTTTGACACATTTATATACCTGCTGTCTGATTATGTTTGTTACATAAAGTGTTGCTGATTTTGGGTGAAGTTTTTGTTTAGTACTACAGTAGCAAACCATCTGTCACTTTAATATGACTATTCCAGCAAACTAAGGTCCAGGAATGTTTTATTTCACCCTCAATTTGGAGTGTTTTGTTATAATAGCATAATTTACCTTTCACCCTGGAAGCTGAAATACAGCTTTATATCATGCATTTAAATCATGCATGAACCTGTTCGTGAAATAATGCACTTATATTATGTCCAGGATTAAACAATAACTGGTTTTTGTCTCTGCAAAACATAAAAAATTGCTACAGTATCTTGAAAAACATATCAACACTCGACGCAGATTTAGTTTTATTAACTGAAATGTGGGTGGTGCTTATGTTACAGTAATGATGTCCAAGAAAACAAGACGGTAATGCAAAAAAGAGCCTAAATTGATCATGAAAATTGTCTATAAAGGTCACGGAAAAGTCGAAAATGAATGATATCGATAGAATTTCCTCTTTGTGAGTGCAGTCCTTCATCGACGACTGGTGGAAATCATGAATCGATTGGAAACCCTAACAATATATTTTTGGAAGCGTTACTGGATGTTATATCGTTTTATACACGCTTATATTGATTGTGTTTAATTGCACAACACCTTCACCATCGTGTTTTATGCTGCACGCGCTCTGGACCATCTCGTGCTAAACCGTTCGAGCGTACAACAGAAAAGAAGTGCGCAGGAGGAAACCATAATGGGCGGTGCTTCGCCGTCTCTGACCAATCAAAGAACGCTATCATTGCCTGGTCAAACAGTGTCGTCCAATCACAGCTTGTTTTATTCCACCGGACTCATCCGGTACTATAAAGGTGGCCACGAGTTAGTACTGTAAGAGAGTCCATCTTGGAAAGCGGCTTTTTCAGCGCCAATATTTTTACAGTAAGCCGGTTATTTTGAATTTTATTCGCGTGGTTAGTTGTGTTGGGCTAGGTTATGTTTTACGAGAATACCTGTAAGACACCGTTTTAGACGAAAAAGCCTGTTTTATGCGTTCGGCGTAGCTGCAGCAAAGCAAACGCGATCGCGTAGCTAGTTTAGCATTGCATGCTTTAGCTTTCGTTACGCGGCCTGAATTAATCTTTTTATTTGTTTGTTTTGAGCCACATGCGTTTTATACGTTTCGAACACGCTTTAAAGCTCGATTTCGTTTGGTTTTGTGCTTTCATCAAGCTGAGACTGAAATTGAGCGTCTGCGGCCTAAGCATGCCGCTGCTCTATTATTCTAGCATCAGCCGTAGTGTCTCGTATTGTGAAGCTAACTCGGTTCATTTCTGATCCAAAGGTAATCTAAAGCTACCAAAATGGCCGACGCAGAGCATCAGTTGATGGAAACCTCCGAGAACGGGAACGAGGAGAGTCTGAACGGAGCGGAGCTCGCAGAGGAGGCCGCGGATGAGGAGAGCGGAGCCGGCGAGGGAGGACAGATCAACGCCAGCAGAGGCGAGGAAGATGCCGGGTGAGAATATTCAGCGCTTTATTACGCTTTCATGCTTAATGTAGACGTTTTGCGTCTCTGTTGGCGCCGTGTGCTTGTTAGTAGAGGGGGGTGGGTGGGTTCTGGTCCGGTTATTGTGCTCATTGTTGGGAATGAAGGTTGTTTGGGGGTGAATCTCTCGCTGGCGGGTGGCAGCAGATCTGCCGGTACACGACGCGAGCGCATTAACTGACCATACAGCGGTAAAATCGCAAACACGCCGTCTAAACTCGCTTTATTACACCCTTTTCATCCGCATGGTAACTCGCTTCATTAACATTAGCCGATAGACTGTTTATGGTTGCCAAGCTACTGGGTCTTATATAGATGAAGTGGACACGAGCTCGTCCAATCAGATTTTAGTATCGGACCTATAGCGCGCAGTAGTCCCCGCCCACTTTTCAACTAGTTCCAATTTATTTATTTTTTTCCCCCATTAATTTTTCCATAGGTATTTTTAAATAGTCGTACATCATACCAACTAGCCTTGAATTGTGAGTCACGTAAATAAAATCTGATAGAATGTCTATTTGGCAGCTTTAATGAAGGAAAGATCTACAATCGGGTAATGCGTTATTAATGACAATTGAGGTAAGGAGTGGGGAAATATAACTTGATGTAATGAGTTTATATGGAGTCGATGTTTACAGCAAAATGAGTTGAGAGTATTTGCTTGTGGTTTTTCTGATTGGTGGGCGCATCTGTGGAATTATGGGTAATGTAGTTATTCACTAGGAATTATTTGACTGCTTTATGAAATAAGTTGAAATGTGTGCTGATGGCTTTAATGAAAGCATATCACTGATTACCAACCTTTGTAGGTCTTTTTATTTATTTATTTATTTTTTTACAGGTTATGGAGAAAGTGATTGGATTTATTTCATGTATTTTTATCGTTGAATTTTGTTATGCATTTGTACAGCACTCTGTTTAAGGTGCTTTATAAATTCATTTGAAATCCAACTGTTGCGGTCTTTGTCTGTGACGTTATGAGATTGCTCTTTGTTTGTGGTCTAATACAGGCTCTCATCAACTTTTTCTTTTGTGCAGTAAAATGTTTGTTGGGGGACTCAGCTGGGACACCAGTAAGACAGACCTAAAGGACTACTTCTCAAAGTTCGGCGAGGTGATGGACTGCACCATAAAGATGGATTCAAACACCGGCCGGTCACGAGGGTTTGGCTTCATCTTGTTCAAAGAAGCAGAAAGTGTGGACCGGGTACGTATGCTTTCATTTCCTTTCAATCCAAACGCTTGCTTGGTGGCGGACGTTCACGTCTCTTCTTTTGAAAGGTGCTGGAGCAAAAGGAACACAGGCTAGATGGCCGACAGATCGATCCCAAGAGAGCCATGGCTATAAAGAAAGAGCCCGCCAAGAAGATCTTCGTCGGTGGCCTTAACCCTGAAACCACAGAAGAGAAGATCCGTGAATACTTCGGGGCCTTCGGAGAGGTGAGTTTTAAGTCTATTGAGCATAAAAACATTTGTCATCTGACTTATTAATGCTGTATCGATTATGATGCTTGCAGATTGAAACGATTGAACTTCCAATGGATCCAAAGACAAACAAAAGGAGGGGCTTCGTCTTCATCACTTTCAAGGACGAGTCTGCCGTCAAAAAGATCCTGGAGAAGAAATACCATAATGTCTGTGGAAGCAAGGTAATGAACGGAAAGGAAGACATGGTATGTTTTTTTTTTTTTTCTTTTCTCCAATGTTTTTGCAATAGATGCATAGTTATGGTGGTTCAATTTGTGGGTTAAAGTTAGTGTGTGTGTGTGTGTGTGTGTATATTACGGCAGCTTGTTTTTGCCATGGGGGGGGGGGTAATTGAGCTTTCTTCAGAATTGCAAGATGAGTGCAGAATTGTGAGCGAGATGCAGTTACCTATAACTTATTTTGTAATCAACTCAAATATAAAATTAAATTTAACTCTATTGCTAGGAGAAAGTCCAAACTGTAAAATCATAATCGTGATGATTATTACCGTATTGACCCGAATATAAGACTGAGGTTTTTATTATTATTTTTTTCTTGGAAATGCATCTGAAAAAACGCGGTGGTCTTATATTCGGGGTCTAGACTTTGACATGTCAATAATACACCCACAACAATAGGTGGCGCCAAATACGCATAAAACGAGTGTGCCATGAAATGCAGAATCTCACAGTTCTGAGCTTTCTTCAGAATTGCAAGATGAGTGCAGAATTGTGAGCGAGATGCAGTTACCTATAACTTATTTTGTAATAAACTCAAATATAAAATTATATTTAACTCTATTGCTAGGAGAAAGTCCAAACTGTAAAATCATAATCGTGATGATTATTACCGTATTGACCCGAATATAAGACTGAGGTTTTTATTATTACTTTTTTCTTGGAAATGCATCTGAAAAAACGCGGTGGTCTTATATTCGGGGTCTAGACTTTGACATGTCAATAATACACCCACAACAATAGGTGGCGCCAAATACGCATAAAACGAGTGTGCCATGAAACACGTAATGTAACGCGTGTTGTAAAGATCGTGAGTAAAAACAGAAGAGAACCTTACAGCTGCATGAGTCGTGAAGGTCACGTTACACAAACTCCCTTTGTGTCTTTAAAACGTAAGACAGTACCCAGATTTGAAGACTACAGTAAGATTTAACTTCTACTGTTAATAAGATATTGGTGGGCTACTATTAGATGGATAGCCTAAATGTCCTAATTCAGATGGGCTACCTGTTTTTTATTTTTTTTTTATATATATATGTGATTGGTACATTTTACCCGTTTTTACCATACTTTCAAAAAATATATAGGAAAAATATGCAATATGAAAATAATTGGAGACAATGTGTTTTACTGAGAAAAAACACAATTTGGTTTTTAAAAAGCCTTTTTCCAAAAGGTACATCTGGAAAAAGGGGGGTCGTCTTATAATCAGGGCCGTCTTATATTCGGGCCAATATGGTAATTCTATTAATCTTCCCTAAATTAGAAATGGAGAATTGTGAAGTCATTTACATTTTTAATTTGTTAGATGGGCTACCTGTTTTTTATTTTATTTTATATATATATATATATATATATATGTGTGTGTGTGATTGGTACATTTTACCCGTTTTTACCATACTTTCAAAAAATATATAGGAAAAATATGCAATATGAAAATAATTGGAGACAATGGGTTTTACTGATAAAAAACACAATTTGGTTTTTAAAAAGCCTTTTTCCAAAAGGTACATCTGGAAAAAGGGGGGTCGTCTTATAATCAGGGCCGTCTTATATTCGGGCCAATATGGTAATTCTATTAATCTTCCCTAAATTAGAAATGGAGAATTGTGAAGTCATTTACATTTTTAATTTGTTTTATTTACAAATTTATTACATCCCCTAAATTGACCTTTTTAGATGAAGTCACAATTTAGACTGCAAACCTAAGTCCCTCTCCCCCCACCTTGCAGTTACCATAACCTTTTTTTTTTTTTTTTTGCTTTACGTTCTGGGGTAGAATAAAGTTTGTGTGTGTATAAGCCAGTTAAAGTTTGCCCTTGCTCTCATCTGTGTGTCTCTGATTTGATTTCAGTGCGAGATCAAAATCGCCCAGCCCAAGGAAATCTACCAGCAGCAGCAGTATGGTGCCCGCGGAGGCTTCGGAGGTCGTGGCAGGGGTCGCGGGGGTAAGCGGCGTGCTTTAGTTGCTTATTACATTACTACAAACCCCAGTCTCAGTCATTGACCTAATGGCACCCATTTCCTCAGGCCCAGGCCAGAACTGGAACCAGGGCTATAACAGCTACTGGAACCAGGGCTACGGGAACCAAGGCTACGGTGGCCAGCAGGGCTATGGTGGTTATGGAGGCTATGGCAACTACGACTATTCTTCTGGCTACTATGGGTATGGTGGTGGTTATGATTACGGTAGGTCGACATCTTCCAGACGCTCTTATGATCATTCACATTCACACTTCAGTCACTCACTCACTTTTTCTTTTTTTCTTTTTTTTTCTCCAGACCAGGGCAATGCAAGCTATGGGAAAACACCAAGACGTGGAGGCCACCAGAGTGGCTACAAGCCATACTGATCATGCAGAACAGGTAGTGTGTGTGACTATCAATGGATAAGCGTGTTTGTTTTCCTTTTATTCTTGCTTAAGTAGCTTACTAAGTAGTAAAAAACACTACTTAGAAATATTGATTTGAATTGAGCTCGATGACTTTTATTCAGAGCTGATTTCTGCCGATCTTGTAGCTCCCCCCAAAGCTTTCACAAGTTAAAGCTTTAAATCCTAGTAGAACGTTTTAAATTGATAGTCTTTGCATTAAATGTGTCATGCATTTGACAAAACGTCTACACATGAGGTGCAAATTGAGGATATGATGCCTTATTTTCTGAAACAGTAAAAATGTTAGTTTATGCTTGAAACAAGGACAGATATTTGTCAATCCGGTACGAAAGCGTATTTTCCCTTTGAAATGGGGGGGGGGGGGGCCCTTTTAAAACACCAGAGTCCCGTGAATGTCAGCGTTTTTGGGTAATGCATCTAATAGTGACTGGAAATGTCCACTTTTGTTGCTTTTGATTTTAAACCCCTTTTTTTTTTTTTTTTTTTTTTACTTTTATGTTCATGTTTAAACTTGTCAATTAGGATTTGTTAGTGACCAGCAATGTTACTCATTTGAAGTCTCATTCCTATAGTGGTTTTGGTAGAAATAAATGATTTGTAAGTTTTTGAAGTGTTCTCGTTTACTGGCTAACATTAATGTTAATTTGTCAATCTTAATGTTTTAAATGGTGACTTTTGCTGTGACCATTTTAAGTTGAGTTCTAATGGTGATTTTTGCCAAAACACCTTTGATTTCAAAACCCTGGTAACTTTGCATTAACTACTTTTAGTAAATGTGTAATATTCAAGTTCATAAAGTCCTGGGGTCTCATTTATGAATGTTGCGTACGCACAAAATGGGCATTTGCTTTAAAAAATTTTTAAATGGGCTAATTTTTGTCAGTGCGCCTAGTCAGACAATTCTATTTACACTGCCATAAATTAGGCTAAAAATAGCTAAAAGATGTTCACCTTATCAGCAAAACTGCATTAATTTTGAATTGTTTAAAAATTGAAATATTACTTGGCCAGTGGAAAAGAAATTAGATCAACTATTTATATGAACTCTTTGAATCGGTTTAATTATGGATTTTGATATTTATGCTAAAACATAAGGGTACTGAATGATTTTCCGCAATAAAAATTGTGTATGGCATTTATAGTCCGTATCTCATTTTCTTAATGTCTTGTACCTTTAACGGTGTTAAATATGGTGTCAGGTGCATGGGAATATACATGGAAATGATATGCAGATGAGGTTATGCATGGTAAAACTAGGCGTTGTAAACTCCATATATGATGATTTTGAGAAGATGCAGTATGCACAATCTTCCCCTGACTGGGATTGGTTTATTTTTTTTTAATTGCAGTAAACCGATTACGTACAAAACATACAAAATACCATTCAATAATAAACTACTTATGGATTAATAGATAACAGAAAAAGCAATATAATATACAAATTCTTAAGAAATGAACAGGAAGTAGTCAAAAAAAAGAGGGCACCCAAATAAAGATACAAATAGGACCCATATTAAGGAAAAATCGTAAACATGGCACAACTTGTGTGCGTACGCAAAATCTAGCTTTTGTGCATACCTACACTTTTAGGATGAAATCTACGGAAAGTTTTATAAATGAGACCCCTGCTATGTTGCATGAACTGCAAAAAAAAAGTATATATTTTTTTCTTGTTTTCTACTTCAAATATAATTATTTTACTTGAGATGGAAAAAGATGAGTAGTCTTGTTTTCCAATAAGTTTAAGTTTACGCTTGCGACTAAAGCAAATATGTCAGTGGAGTATGATAGCTTTTTTCTTTTGAATTAAGTACAATTTTTCTGACCCCATTGACTGATATTTGTTCTGGTTTTAATCGAACTCACTTCATTTTGATCATTTTCTCAGAAAACAAGACTTTTTATCTTATTTTTATTCACAAATAAATGTCTTTAGCTCTGACATCTACACTGGGGAAAAAAGGACATAATATAGCATATCACTGTTTGAAAAATGTAAAGTGTAATGATGAAAAAATATTCAGCATACTGATTTTAATAGTGTACACTATGCAGTATTTAGTACGTAGTAAGATTCCATTCTGTACACAGTCAGAGTCGTTTGAGTGAATCGATTCATTTGAGTTATCGCTTAATAGAGTTCCAAAAAGTCTACATTCACATGTTTTAAAGAAATATTAAATGCTGCTTTTAATGACTGTTTTCTACACACACACACACACATCTTTAAGCACCTTCACGTTGTACATGGCCATTGAAACATCTTTGCATTTTGCACGCCAAGATGAAAGCATCTTAAAAGTCTTGTGTGACGTGCAGAAGCTTACATTTTCAGATGATTTTAATTCTCATTTGGAGTACTTGTGCATTTTGTTTTGTGGGTGTTTTAGAAGTTAAAAGTCTTGAAGGGGGGATTTTATACTTTTTTTTAATTACCATATTGTTTTGATTTCAGAGGGTTTGATATCAAATATCGTACACTGACTGGATTGACGCATTCTCTCTTGAAAAACAGATAAACCGGAACACAAAT